ACCACATTAGTATCAATAGTAAAATAAATTACTAATAACAATAAAAATACATAGTAAAATATTTGTATATTAATATACAGACGATCTGTCTTCGCTCAGAAACGATTTTCAACGTTTATACTATGATTGATCATTAATTTAAATTCAACTAGTACATCAATAATAATAATAATAAATTATTTAATAACAAAGTACGTATGACACCTATAATACAATAAAGTGAGTTTCTTGCTGTTATTTATTTATTTATTTAATTTAATATAGAACTATAATTAATAGGTGGTAATTTAATAAAATTTTATGATAAAATGCTTGTAATAATATCAATATTCAGTTAATCATTTAATTTCTAAAGAGAAGAGAGTTACACTAGATTTTCATAAGTTTTAGTTTCACACGACTTATATGAGACAATAGAATCAGAAAACTTTATACTATGGACTAATGGGTACATAACAAAATTAAATTCTATAAATGTTTCGGAATATCAGAATTTTTTAAAAAATATTTGATACCATGATACAAATAAAATACATATTATATATTAAAAAATCAAAGATTGTGCTACATATATACATCAAGTTATTTTAGTTAATCAGTCATTATTTTTAATTAATTTTTTTTTTGTGAATTAATACGAATACGATTTTTTATTTATGTATACTACGCCAAATAATAAGCAATTAAGTAACATGAGTTTATGCTATAATAAACTATATAATAACAAATTATTAAATATCTTTATAACTTGTAAGTAATACTACATCGGTATTCAAAAAATATTTTAGTATGATCTAATTTTGTATTAAATTGATAATTATTATAATCAATCATAATTCATAACTATTTTAACTGAAGTTCATTTACCTAACAACTTGTACATTATTGTTTATCATACTAAAATACATCATATTTTTATTTTTGAGATACTTTATTGATTTATTGTTATTATTATTATTATATTTACTATTTTTTTTCTTAAATCCACCTGCAGTGTAGCGCACCATTATGCAATCCTATTTATTATGGTAATACCATCATAACCGGTTAAGATATACATAATTATTTCGTTAAATTACAGTAATTATACGAACTAATAAGAACAGAATTGGTTTGTACGTCAATAATAATTTTACACTCATAAATATCAAAATTATCATTTATTAACGAGAGTATAAACACATAATTCGTGAATAATCTTGTCAACGAATCATTATATTATAATTTATAATTATTATTTTTATATTTATTAACCATAAATTATTTTTTATAAACGAGTTTTTATAATATATATGTATAAATAAAATGTAGGACGAAAAAGTTAAAAAAAATATTAACAATTCGTACTATAACAAATTATATACCTAATATCTATTTTATTTCAGTATGTAAACATATTACATATAATATCATATATATTCACAATACACATTCACCATAATACTCATTTAATGTCAAATATACGAGTATGTCTATTATCATATTTGTAATTAATGATTACTTGTTATTCAGAGCTTGTTATTAAACGGTATAGTCAGGTACTACTTAGTGTATTTTATTATACGACATATACATGTAACATGTATATTAGCATTGAGTATATATAGTATACTATATATATAGGTATGTATATTATTATATTAGGTATAATCGCACTGTGCTATAATAATAATTAATACCTAAGATTTATCAAACGTGCTCTACGTGTGTATACTCGTCGAACCTGCTCAATTATTATTACATTAAACGTTTCAAGAGTACACATTTAAAAAAATTATCATTTAAATGTTTTAAATAGATGATGCACTCTTATTATTAAAAGCGATCGATGCAAAAATTTAAATAATTTACTTATCGTGTATAATATAATATATATATTATAAACTGATCATTGGGCTGGTGGCGATTTACAGAAAATTTAAATTCCTGGCAAGGTTAATTAAAAAAATAATCAAAGTTGTTTGCATGGTTATGTATATTTTATCCTCATGTACACTTTATATCCACGTATACATTTTTGTTTAAATATAATTAAATACAAAAAATCAGTTAAAATTAAAAAATATTATTAGCCAGTAAAATATTGTAATTATTTAATAATTGATCCCTAGTTTTACGGGATATATCGATAATTAAATAGTCATTTTAACAAACATTTCTAAAATTTAAACGTCTAAATCTTATAAATGGGATACGTTTACAAGGCACCTTTTTTCATTTTGGGTTATAGTTTTGTTATATACTATTTTAAGTATGTACGAGTATATCTGTATATGCAGTGGCGTATTTACGGGGGGGGGGGGTCCCGGGTCTCGACCCCCCCCAGAAAAAAATAATTAAAAAAATCATAAATAGCTTGCTACGTGGTAACGAGAAAAATAATATTAATTTATATTATGTGTTTTTAATGTTTGTATTACAATATTCTTAAAAATAACTTTTGGTTATTTTTTTATCGCGTCGTCACAATCCGACGACGATAACGACGTAATATACCTATATATAATTATATTAGTATGCTGTCTATTATAATTTATAAACTATAGTAGACAGTCTGCGATTGTTTGGTATTAATAATATTTCAAATATTTGGCATTTGCAATTTGTTATTGACGGCATCGACATAATATAATCACGTTTTTCGAATATACGAACGACGAACACTTAACAAGAAAATAAGGACGTAAGGTAACTATTAATTTCTAATTTTTAATTGATTTAATTTACAAACAGTATTGTTTAATGTAAAGTGTAAAATAAAAATACATTAGGTATACATAATACTAATACTTATATTAATATATTTTATATGATATTATTCTAAACAGATCACAATTATGACTTCTAAAAAGCAACCCAATATTCAGTCTTTTTCAAATCTACTATAAATGTTTTACCTATACAAGAAAAAGTTGATGATATACAAAATAAAACAGATTTTAGTTAGGTTATTGAGGAAGTTATTGAAGAACTGGCGAAAAAAAAAGACGTTTACCTTTTTTACTATAAAAACTATTAAAACTATTAATTGACATTTATTTTCATAATAATAGTGAAATATAATATAATATAAATAATATCATTATTAAATCATAACTCGTATGTATTTTATTATAATGTTATACACCTGTATTTAATATTAAGACCCCCCCCCACAAGAAAATTGAAAATACGCCACTGTGTATATGTATTAAGTTTGTACAATTGTACGAGTAAATATTCAAGCGAATGTGTACTAATTGGCCTACTTACAGGTCGGCATTCGGGAGAGTGGACTACACCATCTGTCCAGTAAAAGTAAAAAAGACACACGAGCCGTTTTGTTTATGATAATTTTTAATTGATTGCTTTTAAGTATAGTCTGATTGGTGGTACGTTTCATCCTCCACGTGGATGCCTCTCGGTCACGAGTTCTAAATCGAAGTGATAATAAATTATTGTTATATCGATTGGCAATTAGTGCAGGTCGTTCATAGGTTTGAGTTCACTGTTTTGAGTTTTATTTACTCAGGATTTAAACTACTTTGAGTCCTTTGGTTACTCGGCAATAACGCACACTGTATACAATGACGCATATGTATAGGTGTAAGAGGTGTTAATGGTCTTCGGAAGAGTTTTAAATTGTTTTCAGCATTCGTAGAGTATTATTGCCTCATCATATTCCACAGTCTCCCATATGGTGGTGTAGCGTGGCGTCGGATGGCGGTCTGTGAAGTTTTTCCGAGAAACCATACTAGACACCATTAACAACGATTAACGATCTAGTGCGGTGTTTGCTAAACAGGAAAACAAAAGACGACAGAGGTGTGCGACGTTATTGTGTACATGTGTACATTCCTCTATTATAGTAATCATAATATTGTAATATACTACATAGGTACGCCGCGGGACATTGTATAATCATATAATATTATTCTTTGGCTTGGAAGTATTTACGAATAGAATTCGACGGGTATGTATACGTCATATCTGTTGTATAAAATATATGCTTGTAGGTCAATGAATAATTCATTTCAATAGTAAAAATTAAATGGATTAAAATGTCATCAAGTGTATGTTTTTTGTAGTGTTACATAATATGTTATATGAAAAAAAGATTTTTTTTTTTTTTTTAAATAAAAAGGTTAAGTCAAATTGTTTTATAAATGAATTTGTCCGGTGGTGTGGCGGACAGTGTTATTATTTAGATGTCGGTAAATTTGTTGCCATATATCAAATTACCAAATTAACAAAATTATATTAAAATTTAAATAATAATAGTAATAATAATAAACAGTGTATTAAAGCGTAAAATAAGTATTTAATTCAACTGAAATTCAAATTAAAATAATTGTGCATTTAATAGATAATACGGGTTAAAGCCTTATCAACTTATAACTTGTCATCTAGTGGCAGTACCACGTATACTACGAAATTTGTCATTGTTATCATCGTATATGGTGATTTTGTGCATAAAATGATTTTTATAAAGTAATTATAAAAATGTCGTTTAAATGTTTAAAATTTAAAATTTTAATAGTAAAAATTGTATTACTCAATCATAAAAAAAAAAATATTTTTTTTCGTAAAACAAATTATTGTACTTATTAGCATAAAAATATGTAATTTATTATATTATACGCGTACAATAATAATACGTGTGTGGGTGAATAAGCGTGTACGTGCGATTTTCCTTGGTAGTGAGTATTTTTTTCAACAGTTATAAATTAATAAATTAATTAACATTTCATTCACAATATTATTATACATTTTTTTAAGCACTTTTACAACAGGTATACGATTAGGCTCATTTCGGGAAGATTAAACCCTGCGGTGTTCTCGTGTCCGTCATTTAGAACGGAGAAGAGGTTTTGAGACGTCGTCGGCGGCAATGTTGTTGTACCGCACGCCGCCGCCGACGTTCCCCACCACGATCCGCGGTACGACCGCCAAAGACGAACGGCCGCGGCGGAATCGGTCCGGCAAAGCGGTTTCCCCGCCGTCACAACCGTTCGCCGGTCCACCGCGGTCGGTACCTGTTTCGCCGGTCTTCGCGCTGCTTCTCGCGTCTTGTGAAAATAAAAAACGTTTTTCCTTCGACCACCCTTTCGTCGCGGGTGTCCTGGATTTTCCGATTTTCTTCGGTTTCCACCCCGTGTTCCGTGAAAGTTTTGGTCGAGAGGTTTACTACGTCGTCCGAAAGGTCACAGAGTGCGTGTAACTCCGCCGCCGCCGGGCCATCTGTTCGTCAAAAAACCATGGAAAAGTCCGGAGACGTGACGACGTGACCCGCCGAATCCATTGTCGCCCCAGCTACCATGTACTCGGCGCGAAATCGGAACGCCATGATCACAGGTGAGTTCAACACAGAATGTATTAATAATATGTAGGTACATTTACTCATAACCGCGGTTGAAGGGTGGGTGCTGAAAATAAACCGATTTCGATCGATGATGCGAGAGTAAAAGTTCGAATCCTTCAACCCACGACATTTAACCCGCCCTCATACCAACACGCCAAAGGTACCTTTGTCGAAAATGACCGCAGCAGCTGATATTTTTACCTATAATATTTTTTGCAGAGCAGATATCATTATGATTTTTGCGGTCATATGAAAAGCGCATTAAGGTCTTATTGTTATTATTATTATTATTATTATATTGTTATCGGCGTTAAATTTCCGTCGGTGGCGCGCGGGACGACAACCGCGACCGGATGGTGTAGGCAAAACCGGTGTTACATAAATCTTGGTGTCGCAGACCGTCACCGTTACACTTACCTACTGCAACAACTAGCTACGGTTTAATGATATTAATAATAATAATAATAATAATTGTAATAATATAATATCGGTTTAATACGCGCGACAGGATATACGACGTGCGTGTACCGGTGGGTAGGTGTCGTCCGCGCGTGGGATTCGTGTGTGGTTGGCACCGCGACGACGACAGGCCGGCGTGACCGCCGCCGCCGCCGACGTCTCCCGGTAATAATATTTCATCGCCACGCTTTCCAGGAAACGCGCGGGCTGCGACGAGTTTCGCTCCGTTTTTTGACACCCCTTTCCCACTCCCTTGACCTGGTTAATCCCCTTCACCGCCGCACATTTTGTAATTTGTATTTTTTTTTATCCTACCCTCTAGGTGGAACACAACCCCGTCCGTACCAATAATATAAAATGCGATATCATTGTGTGTATAACATATATAGATACCTACCGCGGAACGTGCCCGTACATTATTATTATTGTACATGGTACGCCTATATACCTGTGTGCGCCCGCGGCGCACGTAATCGAATCAATTTCTTTAGAAAAAAAAATCTGTAGTCTGTTTTTATTTATCGTGTTTCTCCTCCTCGGAACCTTTTCGGACCAGCCGGTGCCGGTCCAATATAATAATATTATATTATACATTTGTTATAGCGGAGTTGCGACCATACGGCGACGACTGAATGCACAGACGTTCGTCTTGTCCTTTTTAAACGTCCGTTTGGGTTATTGTTATCGAAAACCCATCGCTTGCTTTATTATTGTTATTATTTTTATTACTATTGTTAATGTTGTGTACGCAAAGATCGCGCGGATATTCGGTATAGGACGTAGTGATGTAAAATAGGAGCAGGTGGTATCCGACGTGCAACAGTGTGGTTGCTGCGCAATCGAATGCCGTCGTGGTCTCGTCATCGCACTTTCTGCTCGAAATTTCCGAAAATGGAACTGATTTCGATGTATAAATACGTACATATGTGTATGGACAAGTCGGCGTACGATTGTTTTCACTTTTTAGAAACTCGCGCAAAGCTCTTTTGTATAAATTGCGCAGCATCGGACATATTGTGATCCCGTGCAGTGCAGACAGTGCAGTGCGTGTTTGGCCGTGTGGGACGAGTAAGTGACGTGCATTATAAATGCGGTATTGTCATCTGGTTGATTTGTTTTTTTTTTCTCATCCGACTCGGTCACGCGGTTAAATTTACGACTAAATCGAAACGAACATGACACGAACGTCGAAAACGCATTAGTACTACTTAGGAACTGGACGGCGGAAGTGGGTTCCTACTACATAATATAATATTATAATACTTGCGTGGCTGCATGCATATTACGTCTAGGCAGGAGTGCAATAGTTTGAATAAGGTACCATCTACCTAAATTATGTTATTATACCTCTATACGGTAATTTATAAAATTATTATCTGTAATTATTTTCGACCGTCAAGGTAACGTTGTCACTACAAGGTAATACTTTCTCCGTTTATTATTACTTATCTCTTGTCACTGTATTGTACCAAACATCGACACTATAGATATATTATATATAGATAAATAAATATATTTTAAATATTATGTATGGATAATTCAAAACACTAGTTTTTGGTATTAAACGTTACGACTCTATCAGACGGTTCTTTTAACAGTAAATATATACTATATTTACCGTTTATTATCCCATATAATATGGAATCATTGAAATATTTTGGAATTATTATTTTTTTTTTTTTTTTTTTTGTATAATTCTAAATATTAAAAACATTTCTGAATAATTAGGTATTAATATTTTTCTTACACTTTTTATCGCCATCAGTTTTTTTATTTTTTCATTTTTGAATTTCAGTATATATATTTTTAGTTTCTGATTCCGAAACGGAATATTTTTTGAATTATTTCGATACATAAAAATCAAATTTCGAACAAGTAGTTAATTAGTTATAACTTATAACTTATAAATATTTAAAGTTTAAATGGGTAGAGTAAAAAAATAATTTTCAAAAACGTCAATATTTTTTGATACCAATAATGTATAAATAATTTTAAAAGAATCATCCAGTATATTATACATAGATAAATACGTCCTTGATATAATACTGTTTGCGCCGAAACGCAGTAATATAAGTTGCAATAGGAAAACACGATTATCTTCACCGTCGTGAAACGATATTGAATAGGTACGTAAACCGTACGCATAACATATGTTATCTCCGGTGTAGTTACTAGTTATGATGTTTTATTTATTTTGAAGGTGAACGCTGTTTAACCAACGATTACTGTGAATACACTTAAAAACTACTATGGCCGATTTTAAAGCATACGAAATTGCCTCAAATGCAATCATTACGTTTAACTGGATTAAAGTTATAGCCAGTTGATAAGTTTCAGATTATGTAGAATTATTGTGGCATTTTCAACTTTCTATTGCCTATCTAATTTTCTGCCGAGTAAAATATATAAATCTGTTATAAAATACCTATGACAAACGAGTTTATATTAAAATTTACTTTTTTTTTAGTTGTATGCACCTTTGCTAGTGTATTGCAGTTAAAAATGTATTGATATAATATTTTTTATGATTGTAAAAATTTCATTTGACATTGACATTTAATTGTAATCGTCGAAAATATTTTAATGAACTAAATTATGTCATTATATTTAAAATGGTTTGTATATTAATTTAATAATATTATAGGTATTCGAGTGGAACTAAACTTGAGTGAATTAATAGGTGTTTGATACGAAAATCGAACGTAACAATATAGAAATAATATTTATTGATATACATGTTTTATAAATTAGTCATTACTTATTAGTTGTTAGTAATAACAGAAATTCTGTGGGTAGAAGGGTTGACAAGTAGGTAGTAAACACTAATATAACATAAAATTAAATACAATAAATTACTGTCGACTGCCGTATTTATTCATAGTTGGTTTGTAATTAGTAATCAAAAAATCGTTATTATCATGAAGTAAAAAAAAAATTCAATTCAAATATAATATATCAATAAAGACGTTTTTAAAAGTATTCGGTAACACATCATCGCGGGCATGCAATATTACTAGCCACGACAACAACTATTCTCATTTGTGTTTTATTTTTTATACATGATAAAAAATGTGGATAATAAATAATGACAGTAGCTATGAGTCGTACAATGTCATTATTCAATGCAGTATTACAATTAGATAATTATTTAAATTTTTAGAATCGATTATAGATAATAATATTATTATTTTTCGCTCACGATTTGTTTAGACTTAACATGCTGGCACACCGTAACATGCCATATAGCGCCTAAACAATAACATTTATCTTATTACCTTTTTTTCCCTCCGATGTATAATGGGCAATAAATAATATTGTGCTAAAAAAAAATGCTACAATTTATTGAACCTGTACTGTCAACTGCTTTGTAACATTTTATGGAAGTTTATTTTGAAAAATTCAGTACTTGTTTCTCATTCATGGAAAATGAAATAACTATGTAGGTCAAACTAGATATTTCTTATTGTACTTATCCGATATACATCACGATGGTCGACATACTGCAGTTAAAACTTTAGTGTTCGTTTTATATATGTCTATGGAACGTATGTAGATAAGTAATATTTTAATAAAATACGTATATTTTTTGTTTTGGTTTTCATTTCGCAATCATTATTGTTTTCTTGTATCAGATTATACATTCGCGTGGTTTCGCATACGTTTAAAAATTAATTTGTTATAATTTTTATATCTAATTTAACTTAACGTTTGGATGTAATAGTATCCTACATGTGTTTCTACAAGTTCGTAAATAATATGTTGTGTATATCATACCGATTACACTGTAGTTTTGTAAACAAATGACACAATGAAGACACCGTGATATTATTTTACATTGAAATACGCGTATACCATTAAAACGTATAATTTTATAATTATTCATGTAAAGACTATATTATAATCATGGGCTATGTACAGCTTGTATATGTCTATATTAACTTATCTTTTGCTATAATTGGCTGTAAATAAAAATGATTTAATAACAGCTGGATCTAATAAATTTGAATAATATTATATTTGCAATCATTATTTATCAATATCTATGCACCTGCCACCTAGGTACCCATTACGGTATCCAATCGCTTCCACTCACATATTTTATAAAGAAATGTATTGAATATTTAACTAAGTAACAACACCATATTGTGTATTACAATTTCATTATTTTTTATACAATTTATTTATAATTAAAACTTTTAACATTAACTAATTTTTTCATAAAATATTATGTGATCGAGCTCATAGTTTATGACTATTAAATGTTAGATTGTATCTTACCTGAATGTATAATAAGTTACATTTATGGTAAATTGTCGGTATAATTATTAATTAATATGATTAAATTAATAATTAACCCCTTAAATATTTTATGGACTTGTTTGATTTTTTTTGTGTTATATTTTCTACTGGTAATTGTGTTAAACAGATGGGCAAAGTGAAATTATAAATTACAAAAAATAATAATCCACAATTACGAATTATTATTATATTAAAAATAGTTTTAAAACTATTGCAACATATATCATCAATCGTA